ATTGACAGAACTTATGACGCTTTTCATTACTTCTTGTATCTCTATGACAGCATATTCGTTGCTAATATTTACCAATGAATCATACAGTGAGTTCCTATGACTTGTGGTGACTCATTCATACCAAATATTGAAATCCAGATTGACACCCCAGCATAGCTGGTGCAGCACCATCTGTGCAAACACCACAAACCTTTTCCCAAGAAATCTTACGCTCTTTCAGAAATGAACCAAGTGTGTCAAATACTTCATGTGCTGTAGTTGTCGTTTCAAGAGGTTTGCAAAAAAAGAAACTCATCTTTAAACTCACCATCATTTAATATACCTCACTTAAACCAGTAACTGTGAACAGTTTGCAACATCTGTAGATTCATCAAGCTGGATGCTAAATATTGGAAATGGAGCAGATTTAATTTCCTGGATTACCTGATCAAGAATATCAGCAGACATTTCATCTATTCTTCTGCGGACAGTGTCATCAGATAAGGAAATTGCACTCAATTTTGTAACAGATTCGTCTCTGATTATAACTCAAACAATGTCTTTGGCTGCTGGCAACAGTAAATCCTCAGCAATGGTGTGAGGTTTCATAGCTCTGGCAAGTCTGAGTACCACCAAATATGAAGCTTCAATAGCTGCTACATTTTGTTTGTGGTTCTGACCACCAGTGTCACGTCTGGCTTTCTTGAGTCCATCAGCTTTGCTTCTAAAATGGTTGGTATCCTTGCTGGCAAAGCTCAAATGCTTGCTATCAAAATGGCATTTTAGTTTGTTTGACTTTATAGATTCAGCTGATAGAACTTCACAAAAAAGAACACATTGCGGTTTCTCAATTCCTGCTGTGATTATTGAGGTAAATCCACACTAAAAAATCCTCACTACATTTTCTTTTCTTAACGTTCTTCTGTACATGATCTATTGTCATGGGATGGTTTTCTAATGAAAATAATATATAACAATAGCTTTAATAATACAAAAGATGATACATAGCACAGTTCAGTCAATACAGTTCATTAAAGTTTCCTATGATTTACCATTCTCTGTTGTTGTTTTTTACATACCTGTTACTATCACAAGGGGGCAGTAGTCACATCAACCACTGCTGAATATAAAAAGACCAATCAGCATCCAGATTAAATTTCCATGATACAGATTTTTTTACAGTAGTTGATGATTTTACAGTACATGACTTTACATTTACCCAGTAATTATAATTCATGAAGTGTCGCTTTACCTCCAATACTGCTGCTTTCAAAACAGCAGCTGCTTTCTACACAGTAGCTGCTCTCTACACAGTAGCTGTACTCTACACATGTGTAACTGGTCCGCATAAGTACGTTATGGAATCAACCCTGTCACACACACCTGTCACCACGCCAGGTACTCATATATGGGTATATCTGTAGCTGCATGTGGGTGGACCCGTCTGGAGATGGGTAGAAGAGCGGTGTCTCGGTTCCTAAGACCACCGGAAATGTATGTTTTCTGATGGTCTTAGGCAACCCCTGTGAAAGGGTCATTTGACCCCCAAAGGGGTCACAACCCACAGGTTGAGAACTGCTGTTGTAGAGGGTCTTGGTAGCCTGTCTGCTTGGTCTGTCATCTTGCTGGAAGACCTCTCTTTCTTCTTTTTTAATGTACTATAAATGTCTAACTATAAATTTCCAGCTGAGTACTACTCTCAGGGTGTCCCATAAATTTAGTTTGTTGTGCTTATTTTCATTCAAATCTAAATATTTCCTATTTTCCTTCGTAATTCCTCTTTTGACCATTTAGTGTTTTCATAATGTGTTGCTTCATATCTACATATTTGGAGATTTTTCCAGTTAATCTTCTGTTATTGCATTCTAGTTTTAATCCACTGGGGCCCGAGAAAACACTTTGTAATTATTTTAACATTTTATAATGTGTTAGCCTTTGTTCAGGCCCAAAGGTTTGGACTGGAGACTACTGTGTGTTCTGCTCGTGTTAGGTGTTGAGTTCTGTTTCATCTAGTGGGTCCACAGTGCTGTTCAAGTCCTCTATTTCTTTTGTAGTATTCTATCGAGATCTACTATTTGTTATTCAAATTCTCCAAGTAATACAGTCTATTTATTGCTCTCATTCTGTTAATTTTTACTTTACATATTTAAAGTCTCTATTACTAGAGGTATGTATAAGTGAGTTTCAAAAAATTCATCATCTTATAATCCACTTTTCCACAAACGTTTTGAAGTCCCCTCTAATATTTATAATTGCTATACATGCTTGACATTTTGACATTTTTATCATTATAAAATGTCTCTCAGTGTCTCTAACACATTTCAACTAAAAAAATTGGCACGATTTTCATTGTATATTTTCTAATAGTCCAGCAGAGGGCAGCAAAGCTATTTACAGCCTAGAACCTCACCCACTTCCAGCAAGAAGGCTGCTGACCCACCTCACTCTGTCCCCAGGCCAGCAGGGTGTGAGTCCCATCAACAGTCCTCAGTCCACACTGCTCCTCACTGTCAACCCACCAACACTAGACGCTGTCAGCTCCTCCATCCAGCCACGTTCAGCCCACTTGAAGGTGCTTCCTGCTGAACCAGGTTCCTCATTCCACAACCTCCCCCCTTCCCTTGACGACATCCCCTCATGCTCAGGACTCACTCAAGAGGGCTCTTCCCAGGTGGGAGAAGCTCTCTGTGATCTCCAGACCAGCTCAGATACCCAGAGAGTCCTCCTTCACGGCCATTAAAATTATGTCACTCATTCCAAACACATGCCTTATGTGTGGAACCCCGGGGCTTAAAACAGGACCTGACGTAACATCTGTGCAGTAAATATTCATTTAATGGGGGAAGACTAACCACGTCACTTCACATGCTGACTCCTGAAGGTCAGAGCACAGTCCATAAACCCAGTGGCATCCACACAGGAGGAAGCCAGCAAGTGCCTAGCGCTGTCCCAGGGATGTGGGTGTTTTAATGCTCAAAATGTCAAGGATGGTGCCCTCCTGACAATGAGCACAGAGACCTAATTAGCTCCAAGATAACTAACCCCGGGTAACTCGTTAGTGACCACAAAGCAGTTAGGGTGAGACTCCCCACCACAAAGGGCCCCTGATCTGTGGGGATACGTGGTTCTGGTTTTCTGGTCCATATTCCCAGTTCCAAGGAGTCCTTGGGATAAGGAGAACTCACAACACAGATTGGAGACAGGATTTCTTAGGATCCAGCTTTCCTTCCATCTCAGAGGAGCTAACCCCACAAGGGCCTCCCCTCCCTTAATAAGCACCTCACAGAACCCCAGCATCCTAGGGCGACAATGCTCCAGATCAGCCCTGTGGGAAGGTCACTCACAGATGATAGACAAGGACATGGATCGCCTTGAGGCAATGGCCCAGGACTGCGATGGATGGAAACCTAGGGCATTGCAGAGCAGGGAGTAGGGCCGGTGGGGGCAACCTCCCAGTTCATGTTTCTCGAGGGCAGCCGAAAACACCTCACCAAGCTCCTCACTTAGAGCCTTGGGGACAGAAAGGTGCTCTTGGGCAGGACATCCACCTGGGCGAACAGCCCTCCAGACACGAGAACCAGCGGTCCTCTGCACACCTCCCACCCGCTCCCGGCCGCACCCTACACTGGGGTGGGGCCAGAGCAGCCTGCAGACCTGCAGGGAACGGAACCTGAGCATGACCCCCAACCTGAAGGTGAAAGGTCCTCTTGTCCAGGGTCAGGACCAGGTCATGTCCTTAGGAGCCTGGGCTGCAAACCTGGTGCCCCAAAAGCTATTAGCCACAGGTCTCTTCAGGGCCTCCAGAGGGAGACATAACACAGGAAAAAATTTCCCCTGAGACAGGGGCGTGGCTTTTCCCTAGAGAGGTGGAAACAGAGACTGGTCTCCATCTTCTCTGCCCACAGACCCAGAGGAGCCCCTCCTACAGGTCAGCTCTGTCCTGTGCCTCCTGCCTGAGACTCAGGGCCCTTGTGCTGCCGGGGTGCCTGTGCAGCTCCTCACTCTCTGCGTGGGCCCCACCCCCACCCCACCCCCGTGGGTAAGGCAAAGTGGGCATAGTCCCTCACCTGGGACAACGACACAGGCGGCCCCGGACAGAGAGAACGCTGATGGGCTCTGACCACTACTCAGCCAACAGATACCAGAGAGAGGGCCCCCTGAACCATTGCCCTGAGGACATGGGTCCACAGCCCCCAACCGGCCATCTCCAGCCTGCTCTCTTCAGGACCCAAAGGAAATGTCCCCTCTCACTGACACCACCACCACCACCCAAAAAAATAGAACTGCCTCCTGGACGCCAGATTCTTTGTCTCTACCTCAGGAAACCGAGGACAAGCTGGTGAAACTCGCGAGTAGAAGAAAGATGCTGCTATGTGCTCCCAGGAAGATTTACAGTCTCCACATGGTCAGTAGGACTCACAGCAAATTTGATGACCGTGAGTTTGGTCTCTTGCCTTTCTGACTATTCATGTACACAGGAGAGGGTCAGACGTCATCTCCAGGAACCAGATCACTGGTTCTCCGCCCTGCTGGGCATCCTCCGCATTAACTGTGTAGCTGCTGAAGCAGCATTTTAAGGCATCATCTGGATGTCTGGCCACTTTATAAAGTGACTCTGCTGCACAATTCTCAGTGACAAGAGATCCTGATGTCACCCCTAGAGCTCCTGCTCCTAAGGGAAAAGCCAAATGGTGTTGAGAGGGGAACTCCATGGGAGAAACAACTGTCCCCCACCCCAGATTCTGAGAGGACACAGCCCTGGAGGCCCAGGCCCCAGCACTGGGCTCACCCCAGAACCAGGGTGGGATGAGGTGGGGAGGGTCAAGGCTGAGAAGCCAGGGCCAGCAGCAATTGCCAGGGAAGCTACAGTGCAGACTGAAGGGAATGAAGGAAGCTTAGAAACAGAAATGAAAAGGGAGGGTAAAAGAGGCATCCAAGAATAGACCCCGCCCCCAGACCACATGACCTGGGGAAGCTCCCGCCCCAGGACAGGGCTTGGTGCTCAGAGGAAGGAAGGACAGCAGAGCTGACACCTCTGGGGCACCAGCTTTGTGAGCAGTTCTGGGGCCGGAGTTCTTCCCACAGCGGGAGCAGAGAGCAGCAGGGACCCATGGAGGCCCCCTCAGTCACTCCCAGCAAAGGGCACAGCTCCTGGCAAGGGGCACTGCTCACAGGTAGGAGGGGACAATTCATGGGGTGGGAGAGTGGGAGAACAGAGACAGGCCAGGGTCTACCCAAGAGGTCAAGAGTCTGGGAGGTGACAGAAAGCTCCCAGTGAGTACAGAGGATGAAGAAAGGGAAGGTGAGGCAGCATCAGGAAATGTCAGGGAACTGGAATTGGTTAAGAAACAGAAAAGAAAAAATGTGCTATTTTCAAGTCAATTCTGACTTATAGTAATTCTGTAACACGGAGTAGAACTACCCCTTCGAGTTTCCAAGGCTGTGAATCTTTCCTGGAGCAGAAAGCGCCGTCTAGCTTTCGAGGCACAGCTGGTGGGTTCAAACTGCTGCCCTTGTGGTGAGCGGCCCAACGCTTCCCCCATTACACCATGAGAACTGGTAAGGGGAACAACACCTCAAGTTTCCCAAATAAACCGTCTCTAAACAATGAATATTTTAAACTGAGAATTTTTCTTTTTTAAATATACGTCAATGTGGTAGCATGGAAAAGTCTCCACAAGGTACCCTAAACACTGTCCTTGCCGACCCATCTCAGGAATGAGCAAGGAAACACCAGGATGTGGAAGAAAACCTTCACTGATTCCCTAGGGGGAGAGGGGGTAGGCAGTGAGCCCTGTCTAAGGCACTAGGGATACAGCCCACCCCCACCTTCATGAGGCTCACAGCTAGGGGAGAGGGAGATACACAAGCTAATAGATTTGCATGTGATGTCAGATGTTGACTCGCACCATGGAGGACACAGAGCAGACAGGATGGAAGTGGGGACAGAGGTCTGTGGACTCCAATCCCAAGGATTCCTCTCCCTCCATGTCCAAGAGCTGAGAGAGCTGCTCAGACTCAAGGACCCGGTTCTCCCTCCCAACCACATCGTCCACGTGCTGACGTCACTCTCTCTCTCTTCCTTCCTAGTCTCACTGTTACTGTCCTGGAGCCCGCCCACCGCAGCACAACTCACCATTGAATCCGTGCCCCGCGCTGCTGCTGAAGGACAGGATGTTCTTCTCCGCAACCCTTCACAAGCAGAGGCTGCATTCTACAATTGGTATAAAGGGAACAGTGTACTAATACAAAACAATAGAATTGGAACATACGCAGTATCATCTGGAATATTTACTAGGGGACCGGCCTACACGGGTCGAGAGACCATATACCCCAATGGGTCCCTCCTGTTGCAGAATGTCACCCTGGCAGACACAGGAACCTACCTACTACAAAGAACAAAGGCAGACGGAGTACCTGAGGCATTGACTGGACAAATCCTTGTATTCCGTGAGTCATCCCTCTCTGACTTCTGAGTCTGGGAAGGGGGTTAATTCTACTTTAAGGATGATTGACAGATCAAGAACCTTTACTGGGCCTACACTCACTACTCTATTCCATTCCTGGATTTGAGCATTTCCATGAGAATTCCTTTCCTGAATCTAGACCCTACAGACTTTCCCTCCCTCAGAGAGGAGACTCTGAGAGGGCTTAACTAAGCAAATGAGTGATCACTCAATCAATCCCCCCACCCCCTGTGGCTCCTCACCTGAAGGTGACCCTGGAGCATTTGGTCAGGCCCTGGCCTGAGTGACTCCCGGGTCCTCATAGACAAACTCATGCTCAAGAAGGCCCTTCCACACCGTGTCCTAGGTCTGATGCTTCCTGAGCCTGAGGAGCCTGTCACCAGGATTCCGTATTCTCCTCCTGGGCAGGGCTGACTAGGAGCAACAACGGACTGACTTCAGAGTCTTGGGCTCCTGGAGCCAGAGCTCAGCTCCAAGAGATAGTCTAGTCAGTGAATAATAAACCGAGTCCTTCCGCTGAGGTTCAGTTTGAGACCAGAGATAGACCGGTGCCCCGGACCATTAGCGGACTACCCTAGGCAATTTAGACGACTTCCCAGGAAGGTCAGTGTCCCCAGGAGGAAGAAAGAGGGGAGAAGATGCTACAGGTAGTGAGTGTGTTTCCATCTGAGGAGCCCTCTGGTGGGTGGAGAAGATACTACAACAAAAGACCAAACTCACTGTCATCCAGTCAACGCTGACTTATGGAAACCCTGTGGGACAGGGTAGCGCTTCCCCTGTGGGCTTCTCAGACCTTAACGCTGTAAGGAAGTATTGTTTGTGCAGCTCCTCCGGACCTCGCTTTAAGTAAGGCAATTGTAAATACGTACAGGTTCATTCAGAGAGCCTTGCAAATGAGATACCATTTATCCTTTCATTGACCTTACTGAGGGGAAACTGAGGCCTGGAGAGAAGAACTGCTGAATCAGGCTCACAGGGACCATGACTATCAGATCAGCTTCATGCCAAGATCTGCTGCAGCCTCAACGCTGACCATTCCTACAACTTTGGTGGCCTTTTTCAGGAGGTGGACCCGAATGCAGCCACAGGTTCAGATGCTTTGCTCTTAGACATCCCAAGTTAGAAGAAAGAGATTTTTATGGGGGTGGAGGTGAGGGGCAGGGAAGGGGTCAGACAAATGAACTGTTAATGCTGCTTAACTTAAGAACAAAATTATTTACTTTGATAGTCATACACACGCCTCCATGTCCATACAGCCAATCTATGTGCTCCCTACAATGGAGGGGAGTCATTACCGTGTTTGTTGACTGAATTGTTCTGTGTTTTCCCCCTGGAGCATAAAGGACTTTGCTTTCTCTCTCCCCATGCACAGCAGATCCAGCAGGTAACATATTGCTCTAAAGGAAGGGAGGAGGGAACGGTGAGTGAATAATGAGTGATTCACAATCTCTCGGTGAGGAGTTAGTGACAAAGACCTCTTTCCTGCATTGACTAACACCAGTTCTTCTAGTTTGATGTCTTTCCTCCTTCGGTATTGAGTGAGATACCTCAGAATTCCCCTCTGATCAATTCTATCCCCTCAGCAGGCTCACCTGTCTCTCCCCATCCAGGGAGACCCTGACTTCAAGCTGGCTTCAGTATGGTCCTTTGATGGTACTGTGATCTTTGCTGGCCACCAGGGCTTATCCTAAAAGCGTCTAGTGTTCTGTTACAAATATTCCTTCCAGCAATTGGTCTTGGATCTTTGGTCACTGATAATCATTTTCACATATGGGAGAAATTTCAACATTTACGCAATCAAAGTTATATTCAAGTACACTCCACACAAGTGGTCCATAATGGCCAGACCCACAGCAAGTGCATGCTCTCCTCACTTCCTGCTAGTGACCCCCTCTGCATGTGGAACTGTCCACATGTATTTCAGGACAGGTAGATGTTATCTTACCTGTCCTCAGCCCTGTAACAAGGGGCATTCAAGATCCAGGAGAGAGAAAAGGGTCCTATTTTAAGCCAGCCATTTCCTGCTTATTCATTCACTGTTTTCTAGATTATTCCTTGATTTTAGATCAGTGGGCCATGAGCTCTCTCCTCAGTCACCATAAAATATTGAGGAGAATTTCCCCATATTCTGACCTTCTGGCCTGACCACTAGATTCACCACTGGGCTCACTCCTAGTTTCACTGAGTGTAATTTCTACTCATAGCACCCAGTCACCAGACCAGGCTGCCCCATATCTTCAGACTGGAGAATAATAAGAAGTCCCATCTTTACCCACATCTAGAATATCTTTGAAAAGAAGTTTCAGAAAAAACACCTGGGCTGGACAATGTAGAATTGGAGAGCTTCGGGGACTGCAGAACACAAAAGATTCTGCTGATGAGAATCAAGCAGCCAGCTGATCAGAGAAGAGCCAGGAGAGGCCAGGGATCATCTCTGATCTCTATACCTGCTCCTTCATGAAAATTTGAGAAAATATAAGATTTTTTAAATTAATAGAATATAAGCTGGTAAGCCTTATATTCTCTGGTACTCCATTGTCAAGTATTTTTCTTATAAGACAAATATGCTAATCACTCTAGGTTGGCTGCAAGGAACGCAATGCCAACTCTGATTGGAAGATGCCTTTGCAGGAATCAAAGGTACCAAAGAGGTAATCTTTACTCTGTTTTATCTGACAGGGAAGTTACCCAAACCCTCCATCGAGAGCAACAGCTCCAACCCTGTGGAGGACAAGGACTCTGTAACCTTATTGTGTGAACCTGAAACTCAGAACACAACCTACCAGTGGTTGATAAACAATCAGAGCCTCCCGGACAATTCCAGGCTGGAGCTGTCCATGGACGACAGGAATCTCACTATACACAATGTCACAAGGAATGAATCAGGATTTTACGAATGTAGAACCAGGAACCCAGTGAGTTCCAACCATAGTGACCCATTCTTCCTGAATGTTTCCTGTGAGTAATTTGTGTTTACACATGACAGAGGCTTCCACCCAATTCCCCACTGTCAGAGTCCAGCCAGCGTTAGGCTACTCAAGTCTAAGTACATGAACCATCAGCCCCTGGACAGCCAGGCTGGCCATGGCATCCTTTCTCTGGGAAACAGAGGCAAGCATAGTCATGCAGGACAAAAAGGGGAGGGGCTGCCCCTGGTCAATGGCATGCTCAGGGACAATGCTTGAGATGGAGAAACAGGTCAGTAGTCTCAGAATCAGGCTCAGGGTAGTAAGGGGCTCTCAGAGGGAAGCTGTGGCCCTTCCCTCCGGTTCCATGACAACATGGGTTTGTTCTGTTTGCTCCAGATGGACCAGACACCCCCACCATCTCCCCCTCAGCTGAGCATTACTCTCCAGGGGACAACATCAATCTCACCTGTCAAGCAGTTTCTAACCCATCTGCACAGTATTCTTGGTTTATCAATGAAACCTACAGGCAATCCACACAGCAGCTCTTTATCCCCAACATCACTGTGGGTGACAGTGGGAGCTATGCCTGCCGTGTCCATAACCCTGTCACTGACCTCAATAGAACCACAATCAAGACTATCACAGTGTCTGGTAAGTGGCTCCCTGGAATGGCAGCCCTGAGCTCTGGGGTGGATGTTCGTCTGGTTTTCTGGTTCGTCTGGTGGACGTTCATCTGGACGTTCATGGAAGTTAACCTACAGTCTATGTCCCCTAGGCACACGGAAATCCCAAATTCTGTCCTTGGATCCAGTCTGGAATGTGGGTGGGGCTTGGAATAGGGGCAATGGGAGGAGGGGCTTCATATCTACAGGGGGGTAGGTAGACGTTTCCTCAAAATAATCTGCCTGTCACTAACTTGTCACATTCTGTCATCTCTTTGTTTTCTTTCACTGACTCCATATGCTACAAAGCTTTCAACAGGCTCACATGTTTCTGATTTGAGAGGATGATACAAACCCAGAGGAGTGATGGGCAGGCTGAAGTTCTGCCCCCTGCTCTGTTCCCTATTCCTCACTCAGCAGCCTGGTTCTGACACCATCTATGGCCGGACATGGAAGTGTGGAGCGAGTGTGCACACTAAAAAATACACAGGTCACAATGCCTCAACCACACTAGGTCAGGCTGCAGGAAAGGGAGGACAGCTTAGGGGTGATGCATCTGAAGCTGCATCCTGACAGAAAAGTCACAGATGGATAAACTGCATGACACTGACACAGAGCATTCACAAGGAAAACCATGCGTCACGGAGCGTCCTTGGAAAACTAGGCTGATTTACCCACAAAGTCTCTACATGGAAGAGAAGGGGCAGGGCAAAATATATATTATTTCAACCTGTGAACGCAGGACCCTGTGTGTGATAGAAACCTGTCAGAAAGGGAAAACGCAAGTAATTTTCCACTCGCAGAGCTCAAGAGGAAAGTAGTAAGGCTGCACGCTGTCAAAGGTAAGAAACTTCCCAGACCCCCAAAAAACAAGGCAGTACCTCCATCCAGCTTTCCTGGGTCTCACTGCGGTTTACAGAGACAGCCGAGGCCTAACCTCTGTTAAGATTATAACTACTTCTCTCTAAGGTTTCCATCACCTGATACTGGATTCACAGACTGGAAGCAAAACTTTTTCTAGATTGAGAAATCCTTGAGATTGGAATCACTCTAATTTCTTAAAGAGTGTTGATTGGGCTGGCTGGGCTTATTATTCCCTAGCATACTGTTTAGCTAAAAGGAAGGGCCTTCCCTTCTGTATGTGCAGCTGCCTTGGCCCTGACCTGGACAATGCAGGCAGCCTGCCTTCCTCACATACACAAGCTTGCCTGCCGGAGAGGGCCTGATCTCTCACAGCCACAGGAGACTCTAGGAAAGGGTCACAAGAACAGTTTGGGAAGTAGAATCCCACCCAGTAACAAGGTTGGTGCACAGGTAGGCTGGGAAGAGGTCCTGCGCTGATCCTACAGAGGCCCTGGGGCTGCATCTACTTCCTAGCGAGGGGAGTGGCCATCCTGCTCTCATGGATCTCCACCTGGACAGAGGTGCCTCTGTGCAAGGTCAGGAGCACCTTCTGGGTCAACTTCCGGGCTCACTGTGGGGCCTCCAAGGTGGCTGAGAGCTCCTAGAAAAAGATGGCTCCCAACCCCAGTCCCCCTCTCAGTCACCTCCTCTTTTTCCCACAGAGGCCTTGACCAAGCCCTCCATCCAGGCCAGCAACACCACAGTCTCAGAACATACAGGGCCGGTGGTCTTCACCTGCCTCACCAAACACAACGGAATCTCCATCTCCTGGTTCCACGATGGTGAAAGACTGAGGCTCACGGAGAGGATGAAGCTGTCCCAGGACAACAGCTCCCTCACCATAAACCCTGTCAGGATGGAGGATGCCGGGAAGTATCAGTGTGAGGTCTCCAATCCAGGCAATGCCCAGAAAAGTGACTCCCTCACCCTGACTGTGGAAGGTGAGTGACACTTTATGCCCTCCTACATCTTCTCAGCATAGACTAACTCTTGCAATGGTGGGCAACATGGGTAAAAGTGACTTGGGACAGAACGTCAGTGAGTAGATGATTACAGTAAACAATGGTGAAGTGGCAATGAATGTACAAATGTGCTTTACACAATGGATGGATGTATGGATTGTGATAAGAGTTGTACCAATGGTGAAGTGGTCACAGGCTCTGAACAAAGCTATTTATAAGTTTCCTATACCAACACTGATCTCCAGGTGTGACTGGCACGAGATTCTGAATTTCCAAGTCTCAGATTCCTCAACCAAAAATTATAATAAAAGGACTGATTTATAAGATGATTTTTAAGGTTTAATGTGTTCTTCCATTAAACCATGAAGATTCTCATACACAGAGAAAATGTTCCATGAAGGTTAGCTCTTATTATTGCTACCACTAGTATTAGCCGTGGAGTCAGGAAGGCTAGAAGTCAAGTCTATTAGACCTCCTATGAGATGTAAGACTTTGGATGAATTTTTTTCACCGCTCCAAACTTCAGTTTTTCTTCTGTAAAATGTAAATAATGTCTGTGTGGCATGATGACTATAAGGATCAAATAACATATATGCGCAATATTCTGCACAAGATCTGGTACATGACACACCCAATAAATACTAGCTAGCAGTCACATGAACAACCAGCCTTGAGTACCAGGCTCAGCCCCAAATGATTCCCACAGAAATTTAAAAAAATATATAGAAGCTGAAGCAAAAGGTATATAAGTGGAAGTGGGAGGGAATGCATTTCACAGAAACTGACTGATTATTGGCTAAATATGGGAAAGGGTGTGGGGGAGAAGTTAAGAGTTGAGTGGGCTCTTTCAGAAGTCAAGCTCTAGGTCTTTCTTCTAAGGTGGCTAACCGTGGGGTTAGTGTAGTGGCCAAGTGCTTCACTGTTTGTACCATTTTTAATAATACTTACAGACCTGAGAAAAGCCATGGCAGTGCCACTTGGTTTTGAAAGCAACTACTGATAAAACATAAAAAGGTTTTCTTGAGGAAAGCATTTAAAAATATTTACTGAGTGGTCCTTGTCTTCCTGGCAGTTTATTCTATAATGATTGATTCTTTAAAAAGTTTTTTTAAAATTCTATAATTCAAAATTAATTGATACAAGATCTGGACTAAAATATGCAAGACATTATAGTGACTAAAATGATACCTTTTGTCAACAGATTAACTGTTACACATTCAGTATCAACACTGGATAGTTAATGGAAGGAAAACACTATTAAAAAAGAGAAAAAGATAAATGCAAATTTTTTTACTTTCATTTAAGTTAAATGCAAAATATTAAGTCTGATATGTTAGTTTTAATCCGAAGGAGCAACAAGGATGCCATTAGACAAGCAAGATAATTATTAGAGGGGGAACCGATCATAATGATCACCAGAGAACCACACACTCTCCTCCAGGGGGAAGATCACGGAAACCAGCGGGGAAAGGGGAGAGCAGTCGGTGTTAGATGGGACATCATAATGCTTTATAATCTGTCAAGAGCTCACGGGGGTGGGGGGGGTGGGGGGGGGGCGTAGGAAGAGGAGCTCATACCAAGGACTCAATAGAAAGACATTGTCTAGAAAAGAATGATGGCAACCTGTGTGCAGGTGTGCCTGACACAATTGATGTATGGATTGTAATAAGAATTGTAAGAGCCCTCGATACAATTTTTTTTAAAAGATAATTATTAGAGAAGAGGTCTCTGGGGGAAATTGGAGCCAGGCAGGAGGGCCCTGAGAGTGCTGGGCCCTGATGCAGATCTGAGCGCTGTGAGGGGGAATGGCAATGAAGGAGGTTGTAGGCTGCAGCAGTCCTAAAGAGAAGCCTTGGTGACATGACAGGTTCCCTGCTGGCTTGCCAGCTGCTCCGAGGGAGAAAGATGAGACTTTCTGCTCCCGTAAGAATGAACAGCCTCGGAAACTCACAGGAGCGTTTCCATTCGGTCCTGTAGGGGCACTTTGAGTTGCAGGTGACGCAGTAGCAGTGAGTCAAAGAGTCTAGGAGTCCTGAGAATGTGTCCACAAAGCCATGGGGAGTCCTCAAGCCAGTCAGAGGAAACTGTCCCCAGGCAGGGCCTGCTTGAGTTGCCCTGCTGGGAGCCTGTGGGAAGCAAGGTCCCTGTGGAAACAAAGTGGTGAATTCGGAGCACAGCAGTCTGGCTATTCCAACAGCTAAGTCCCCAGCACAGGAGATCGGAGAGGTGCATCGTCATGGCTGCCACACCTGGGAAGTTGAGAAGAACATGTGACCAGGAAAGGTGGAGAAGCCAAGAGGGAAGTTCTAACAACACAAAAACACCATCCAGCTTTTCTCACATTCCCAAAGCTTCCAAAGGATCTGAGTAGCTAGCATTAACATTAAAGACCAGCTGGCATTGAGTGCAGACAGGCCGGGATGGAACTGAGACAAGATTGTTCATCAACCTACAAACAACATAAACGAGAGGAGGGGGAAAAGGGCGGGATACAGTCTGCCAGTCACCTCACAGCACTCTCTCTAGAAACACCTATCTGTTGAAGGAACAAGTAACAGGCTACTTCCTGCTGAAACTTGTTTCCCCAAGCACACCCCGCCCCCCTTGACTTTGACTTGCCAAATGCTTGGCATTCTTTCCTTCTGATTTTTGGTTGTTGTTGTTTTCTTCCAACAGCAAATGCAAGCAATTCTGGCCTCTCAGCTGGGGCCATTGCTGGCATCGTGATTGGAGTTCTGGCCTGCGTGTCCCTGGTAGCAGCTCTGGTGTACTGTCTGTGGGTCAGGAAGACTGCAGGGTATGATGTTTTTCTCTTGCTCTGCTTTTTCCAAAACTAACTGCCATGCTGAGGGGAGAGAACAGGCTCTTCTTCACCTCTGCCTCTGGGTCTGGGCCTCCTCTACCTCCTTCCTAAACTCCTGCTGCACAGCACTAAGGTCTCTGCTTCCCTGGTCTTCATGCTCCCAGTACCCCACTGCCTCTTGGACATGGAGTTCCCCACTCCCATGGGATGAAAAATGCCCAAGTGTATGCTTCTGTTCCACCGTCGGGAAGTCAGGGTCCAAAGGAAGATAAATGAGAAAATGAAAACAGGAACAGCCAGCAACAGGACGGCCTGTGCCCTGGTGACCACATAGTAGGAGGGAGGGATGAGAGAGGAACGCACTGTAAGGGAAACCAGAAATACCCAGAAGGCCTCCGGGCAATAAGCTGAGAAAACAGCAGTCTGTGCGCCTCATGGAAATGGAAGCAGCTGGTAAAGAATTAGCCTAACTGCACATTGGAGGAGACACAGCAGTATCTCCTCCTGAACTGGGACAAGAGTTAAGTCCTAGGTGGACAGTTAGAACCCACCCAGGGAGCAGCTCCTCCAGAGAAGGACCTGCCCATCGGCTCCTGTCAAGACTGCTTCCTAGAAAACCCTGTCACCTGGGGTCTCTTTGAGTTGAAAACTGATTTGATGGCATATTACAAACCCCACCATAACACATGCATACTTAGCAAGTGGAGATGAGTCAGCCCTTGCAGTGGTGACAAACAAGGGCCTCGGAGGAAAGGTGTCCGCGAACACGGAGGAGTTACCTGCTGAAAGTGTCCTTCTCGATTCAGAGAGCAGCTTTCCTGTGTTTGAGGGAAGAAGTCACAGTGTCTGGTATTTATTTAGGGCAGGCGACCAGCACGATCTTACAGAGCAGAAACCCTCAGCAGCCAACCACAGTAAGTAAAGCCTCCCAACGTGAGGGTTGATGTGCTCCACCTCCTGCCCTGCCCTCTAGCAACTCCCAGATTCCCAGACCTCTCTCTGCCTGCTGAACGTCTACAGAGGGATCTCTGCTCCCCAACTAGAAGTTGGCATAGGTCCTCACCTCAGAAGGTTCCCCTGAGACACAGCCCCGGCCAACCAGGCCTCAGCAAGATGGACATGTTTCCAGGAGCCATTCCCTCATCCTTACTCCTTCCACTCCTGCCTCTATTACGGATGTGGGCACTCTCCCTTGGTGAGGCTTTTCCCTGACTTGTGGGTGCACTGGGTGCTGCAGGTGTCACGACCCCTCCTGTCACTAGACCGTACTGCTGAGAAATCAAAGGTCAAAATCAAGGTCTGTGCACTGATAAAAATTTCAGAAATGGCCTGAGGCCGCCTAAGACTGCATTCCTGCCCCTCCTCTTATCCTAATGCTGCTGGACCACAGACTCACAGGGATGGAAATTTCTCCTCTGATCATGGGCCACTCCTTACCACCCCACCACCTGCTTCCTCTTTGGCTAGAAATTAACAACAGCCTAGGAACACGGCTGTTCAAAGGCTGTAAGTCAGCTTGGCATGTTCATTAATGTGAAACTCTTCTTTTCCTTTCCCAGATCAGGAATACTCTCTGCCTAACATGGTAAGCATTTTCACTCGCTCAACTTCTCATGGAAAGATCTCTGTTTGTAATGAGTGGTTCTGTGTTCAAGACGAGAGTGAGCGCAAGAGCTGAAAGCAGCGAGATGAAAATGCACATAACAAGATAGACAAGGGTGCTGCAAAGACTTCACGGGAAAATCCATTAGCTTTTCATTCCATTTTTCCAGGAGTTTTTTCTTGAAGCCTCCCTGTATACCAACTCAACCATCTGTACATGTACAATTCAGTGAGAATTACTGCATTCTTCAAGTTGTAAAACCTTTCTCACTATCCGGTCCAAATTGTTTCACCACTATTAAATAAGCTCAATTCCCCCTGAACAATAACTCTAGGTTCAGTTACTCTTGAACACTACTCTCTAAGATCAGGATTGAGTCAAAGTGGAGCAACAAAAAAGCATTGGTTAATGGCTTCCATGGGTCCACCTCTTAGCAAGGAGTTGGATTTTGGAATTACCCCCACCCTGTATTTGATTTCTGACTATGATTCTTAGTATCTCTGTGAATTTGAGCAAGTAATTTCAATTCTTTGACCCTCGGCTTTGTCATCTGTGAAGTGAGCTATCTGACTATCTACAAGCGAAGTTGACGGGGTTAAATATTGTTATGTCAAGTACCTCGCACAAGGCCGAGCACAAAGAAGTGACTAAATAATCCTCCCTTCTCCACCTTCATTCTCACCTTCCTCTTCCTGTCAAAAGCATAATCCCCATCATCGAGGACATCGGAGGTCCTAGTTCCTGGATAATAATTTTACACAGCTTCTCTCATTTTATAAAGAACACACATATCCACTGAAAAGTCCTTAGGAACACCATTCTCCACCCCCATGTAAGCAACATCTACCCCAAAATAAAACTCTTCCGGTCATATCCCTTCCAAGAGTAACCCCTATCCTCACTTCCAGATTAGCTTTGTTGGTTTGCTCTCATTCAACGTTACATTCTGTGGCTTCCATACACATTGTTCTGGGTATTTATAGTCTGTTCATTCTCATTGCTGTTGTGTCTTCCGTTGTGAGAATACGATAATGTGTTTCTTCTAATGACCATTCAACAGGAGTTTATCAGACAGAGATAATGAGTAACAAAAGCCCTTGACCGAAGCTAAAAGTGGTGGTAGTAAGTGGTGCTACATCAAGACATGCCAGGGGGAGGCATGGCCATTGACACTGATTGACTTGTTGGTACTTCTTCTTTTCAGGCTAATGAAGTTGCATACACTGCCGTGAGCTTCAGTACGCCACAGCAACCCAAAACTCCAACTTCAGACTCCCCAGCCCCAGTGGCCACAGAAACAATTTATACAGAAGTTAAAAAGAAGTAACACAACCTGCCGTGCTCAGGACACTACCGATGTATTTATTCCAGGTCCTTGCCATCCTCATCACGGGAGATCCATTTACCCTCAAGGGAAAAGGAAAACAATCCCACTTCCAAGCTGCACTCCTTACTGCTCTGCCACAAGCCTACTAAGTCATAGGCCCTGCCATCAGTAGACGCCATGAAATTTGGCAAAGACAACTTTGAGAGACAGTTCCTAGGATCTCCCCATCCCTCCCCCAGTCCTCACCTAGATTTTTTTTAAACTTACCTCTTCAGAGCATACTCATTCCTTCCCACCCAAGTCCTGTCCCATCGGAGTCTAATTTGAATTTATCATAACTTTGAGAGTTGTGTGCCAGAAAAGGAAAGAAAAAGTAAAAGCATAATAACTTCTCCTGTCTCTTCAAAGCCAAGTGTGAAAATCAAATATATGCCGCAAACTAAACTGTGTAACTCTACAACGATATCTACTGTCAGAGCTGTCAACCTATAGGACCAGGGAGGATGCACTTTGCTAATTATTAAGAATATAATCTAAACTTTTTGCAAGCTTAACACGAGAAAACCCACCTGAAGAAACTAGAAGAACTATCCATTTCTAATGGAAAATGCAAGTGTGCATATACTTTCTACATATCTTTATGGCATTCAATCAAAACAAGGTTAAAGAAGTCATCTTGTAATAGAGACAATCTGCTGGGAACTTGGGAAAGGAATCCAGAAGAACTTTCGGAATATTATTTAAATTACTGTTAAAGAATGAAAATTTGAGGGTATTGGATTCCCCCCCCCCCCGACTTTTTTGAGATAAACCACCATTTAAATTGTTGCAATATTTCATTATTTCTGTAAAAGCTGTTTTTGTACACCTCAGTTGTATAAGCCAATCTGACAGCCTTTGTTGAAAGAAACCAAAGTCCACTGGGTTCCCTTTGCCAGGAGCTCCTCTGGCCTTTTTGAACCAAGGGCTCCAAACAGAAGGTCACAGGAGGCACGTTCCTCACCCATAGCTAGAAGTGAATCTACCTCAGTTTCCAGGCATCTCAGAATACCACTCTGTTCCAGGTTTCTCCCTGTGCACCCACCTTCCATCCTCTCTGTCGGCTCCACTGGGCTTTCTCAGGAATCCTTGGCTTCTGCAACGTGTGTTCGGTTCTTGAAAAGTGAGCGGCCCCTAAAAGGAGCACTGTCACTCGTGCTGTTGGCCTTGTGTGCAACCTAGGAAGCCACCGTGGTGCTAATAGCCCCTTGGGGACAGGAGCTATGAGAATGTATTGGGACATGAGGGGGAAGATGAGGACAGAACTGTAGGCTTCCTAACCCGTCTCTGAAGGTTCGCTTTTGTCCTATGAGGTCTGGGTCCCTGCATGCCTTAGAATAAAGCGGAAGGAAGGAAGGTTGGACGCAGGAAAATGTGCTTCCTTCCCAGCATTCTTCTACACGGATAGAATTCCTGGAAGGGGGTCAGAAAGAGGATTTTTTTTTTCAATATTGACTGCTTCGTGCTGTGCCTTAGAGGGTTCCAAAGTGGGCGTTCACGATTTCCCAACCTTGGTACATACTGTGTACTTGCCCTCATCCTCTCTATGCCGTGTTATTTAATTTTGCCTGGCTAAGGCCACTGAATTTTTTTCCCTTCTGTTTCTGGATGAATTATTTTCCATTGATTTGCCCTGTATTTATAATAAAATATATGTTCAGACCAGACATTCTGCCTCACATCTGATACGGCTCTGGAAAGTGTCTTCTTTACAGGCGGAAGAAAGAAGGTAAATATTCCTCCATGGGGAGTCAGAGTAAGTGTATTTCTGAGTGTTGAAGGTACCTGCTCTAGTCATCAGAAATTTTGGCTAAATTCATTTGCTAAATTCACTGGCTAAGAAAGAAAGTCTAAGACATCAAAGACCCAAAACAAAAAATCATATTAATGTCAATGAGGGGGAGTGCAGAGTCGAGAGCCAAAGCCCATCTGTAGACAATTGGACAGCCCCTTACAGAAGGGTCACAAGGAAGAGATGAGCCAGTCAGGGAACAGTGTAGCACCATACCCTACAAGTTTCTTCTAGTTTTTAAAGCTTCCTTCCCCACCCCACCCCTATCATGACCCCAATTCTACCTTACAAATCCGGCTAGACCAGAGCATGTACACTGCAACAGATAAGAGCTGGAAATACAAGAAATCCAGGACAGATAAGCCCCTCAGGACCACTAATGAGAGTAGTGATACCAGGAGGGGAAGGAGAAGGTAGGGGAAGGAAGGGGAAATTGATCACAATGATCTACATATAACCCCTTCCCAGGGGGTCGGACAGCAGAAAAGTGGGTGGAGGGAGACAGTGGTCAGTGTAAGACGTGAAAAAAGTTATAAATTTTCAAGGGTTCATGAGGGAGGGAGGGGGGAAATGAGGTGCTGATATCAAGGGCTCAAGTAGAAAGAAAATGTTTTGAAAATGATGATGGCAACATATGTGCTTGACACAATGGATGGATGTGTGGATTGTGATAAGAGCTGTAAGAGCCCCTAATAAAATGATGTTTAAAAAAAGAAAAAATAATAATAAATGTAACTGAAAGCCCCAGACCACAGCTCCAGCCTTCCTGGAGGATCTGCCAGTCTTCCTGTGGAAAAGAAAATGATTGCCTAAGTATGCTTGCCTGGTTCCTTCCATCGTGCTGCCATTCAGTCAGTTCCAACTCAGAGGGACCCTACTGGTTTCTGAAGCTGTGCATCATAGGAGCAGATAGCCTCATCATCCTCCCAGGGAGGGCTGGTGTGTTGGCATCGCTGCCCCTGAGGTTAGCAGCACCCCGCTTATGCAGGGGAATAACAATTCTCACCCAGGAGGCTTCAGCAATGAGCCCTCGGTCAAAAGGCTTGCCCAGATTCAGCCACGTGGAAATCTTCTTTCAATCTCTTCTTTCCCACCATGTTATTGCCCCTGCTTTCTGAGAGGGTCAGATCTCTTCTCACCTGGATAACCTTCATTTATTAATTCTACAAAATGCTCATCTATCCTCCTATCCCCTTCACTTTCAAACAATTAAAACATGCGTGCTATATTCACTATCTTTTCATGACCTTCTCATCTAATTTCCCCAGATGCGATACACTAGGGACAGCATACAATCACGATGTAACGGTCAGATTGAAAGGAATTGTCACAGTGTCCACCCTTCACCATTACAATACCTGGGACCACAGATATTTTCCTTCTGGGAACTTCTGCTGCCGCCACCACCACCACCTATGTGCTGCCCCTCACACCATATTTAGTACCTAGACCCTTCTCACCTCCCTCTACCCACTCCTTCCTCAGCTTCAATGATTTCTCGGCAGAAATCTATAGCTTCTACTGCTTACAATAACTCATGTCATCTATATTCAAATAATTTCTGAAATTATTCCTTATTCAAACTGACTATCTGCAACAGCTTGCTCATTTCTCTCAGTGACAACACTGAGAAACACCCAGATCCTTCTCATTTGCGATTCCATTTCTCTTAAAAGGCCATCGATTCTTTTTAAAATATCTCTCAGTTCTGTTATTGTCTCCATTCTCAGAAATCTAGTTAACCCAGGCCCTACTGAAAGCTTCTTTGCTTATGACTGCCTTGTTACTGTTCCTAAAAATCACGCATTCTCCTACTCATGGGTCTACAGTGCACACACCTACAGCCAATTGATTTTGACAATGCTGTTAAGTCTAGTCAACGGAGGAGGAAGACTCTTCAATACATGGTGCTGGGAAAATTGGATTCCCTCTGCACAAAGAGGAATAAATCAGGATCCACGCCTTATACCACACACACACAAACACAAATACTATTCAAAATGTACCAAGGATTTAAATGTGAACACTAAAACCATAAAATTCTTGGAATAAAGTATAGTGGTTATTTTTTTTAAATCAATTTATTGGGGCTCATACAATTCATCACAATACATAGATCAATTGTGTAAAGCACATCTATACATTTGTTGCCCTCA